TCTGTATATATATATATATATATATATATATATATATATATATATATAGAGAGAGAGAGAGAGAGAGAGAGAAATACATAAATACATATATATAAATAAATACATATATATATATAATAAATACATATATATATATATATATATATAGATATATATATACATATATATATATAGATATATATATATATAGATATATATATATATATAGATATATATATATATAAAATTATTAATATATATATTCATACATAATTTGTAAAAGGGTAAGTGGTCACTTTAAACACAACTGTGGTCACGTGACCGCGTTGCCATGGCAGTGTTTCCATGTGTATATGCTTGTTAGCTTTGTGTTTTTCTAAAACCTTCATGTGTAGAATGTGTGGCAGTTCAGAAGTTCCTCGGTCACCGTGAATACAAATGGTGAGAAAGCATTTATCATAATGGATAACTTATTAATTATTAGCATCTAAAATATAGTTTGGAGCACTATTAGCATGTTAGCTTAGCGCCAGCTGCTCTAACGGTTTGAGTGTGTCGGTGGTTGTCCTTCCAGTCCCAGAAGAACCGAAAGATGAAGGCTAGGAAGGGGAAACCCTCTGCGGTGGTAGACGCTCTCTCCACGGAAGAAATGTCCAAAGATCAGGTGGGAGTTTCTGTTTAAAGCTAGCAAGAGGTGATAAACTGATGATCTACCTTTAATGGATGTATTAATATTAATAAATATTAAAAAAAATCTGAACCTCATAAAACCCATTCAAGTGTTTGGAAATAAACTGAAGCAAACCAAGTGACTTTTATCGAGGAAGAACCAAAACTCGAACTCCTTAGCAGCACGACGATAAAACTCTGTATATTTAGCTTCATCTGCTGGAGAAATGTGAGAATTTCAGAGAAAATCTAGACTTTTTATCCAGAATCAAACTGGTCCAGCTGTCCTTTCTTAATTAAATATATAAGTGTATGTGTGTGTGTTTGTGTGTAAATGTACCTACATACATACACATTTTAAAGTTATTTTGACAGAAATTGAAAATAACTACAGAAAAATTTATATCACTGCCTGATTCCTGTGCAGATTGTAAAGGAAAACCTTGAAATTCACAAAACCTTCCAGTTTTTAACCTTAACCTTCCAGTTTTTAACCTTACCAGTGGGAATAAACCTTAAGGTTTATTCCCACTGGTAAGGGGCTAAAAGAGCAACAAGTGGTTCCAGGTTAACAGGTTCAGACTGGTCCAAAACAGTGTTTGTCCCAGGGTAACGATTTTTTATTTGCCTATTAGTCTCTAAAACAGGATCAATAAACCTTATAGGACTAATTGAGTCCCTAATCTGAACCAGTGGATCAAGGTTGTCTTTGACAGAAAGAAAGAAAACAGTACAGTAGCAGGTCCATTTTAAAGGTTTGAAATAAAAAGATGCTCCTTCCTTACCTGCAGCTGGCGGAGCACATCATCCGCCTCCGAGAGGAGCTGGACAGAGAACGGGAGGAGAGGAGCTACTTCCAGCTGGAGAGGGATAAGCTCCATGCCGTGTGGGAGATCTGCAAGAGGACGCAGGAGGAGATAGAGGCAGAGATGAGGAACAGCACCTGGAAGAAAAAGGAGGCTGAGGAGCGCCACCGAGTGGAGATAAATGTAAGCTGTCATGGTTCTAACCGGACCTTTGACAGAACAACATTATACAACTTTTATCACAGTCAGTCCTGAGAGGTACCTTGTTGAATCTGAATACTTAAAACTGGAAACTTTACAGAACCAGATTTTGCATTAAGTCTAACATTATTCTAACCTAAATGTAACGTCTCCTAAGCCCTAAATCTAATTTTAGCCTGATAGAACTTTCATTTTTATCCTGATCCCATCCTAATGTTCCTCCTTTTGGTCTGAACCAGTCCAAAATGTAACTTTGTTTCTGTGTATTCAGGTCTACAAGCAGAAGCTGAAGCATGTCCTGTCTGAGCAGCACAACGCCGTCTTTGAGGTGAAGGCGGATGCCATCTCTTCTTCCTTGCTGCGCCAGAACAGCAAATCTGAGCTGGAACTACGTGGAAAAGTCCTGAACCTGCAGGCAGAGAGCAGGGTGAAGAAGTTCGCGGAGCACAACTCTATCAAGCAGCTGAAGCTGGTGAGGTAATGTTCTTGTGCTGGTGTTTAAGTTTGTTTCTTCAACTGATGCCTCCTCATCTTCAACAGAAACGCCAGGAGGAGCTGATTAAGCTCAGCAAGGAGTACAAGTATAAGATTCAAGGTGAGCTCTCCATTCATCCCCACCGTTCTCTCTCTTTTCTTCTGTCCTTAATTCTCTCTGGCCTTGTCCCTCCACAGAGATGGAGACAAGGTCCTTCAAGAGGATGCACTCTCTGATAGAGACAGAGGAGAAGAAGAGGAGGTCAGCAATCTTTGATATGGAGGAGCAGATGAGGAGTCGCGTTGAGTCTCTGATGGAGGAGCATGACCAAGCTCTGCGGAAAGGAGAAGAGTACTTCTCTCAAATTCTACAGAAACAGCAGGAGGACTTGAACAAGTGGAAGGTAACCCACGGATCCCAATGACCTGATGTGTCAGTCACAGAGCAAAAACATCAGGTCCACGTCCTCCACAATCACACCTGAGTTAAATACCTTCCGTCCTTCTGCATGACCTGTTTGTCTGCACAGGAGGAGGTGAAGAAGCTGCAGAAGGAGAAGGCTAAGCACAAAAAAGATCTGACAGCACGTCAACAAGAGAAGCAGAATCTGAAGGAGACGCTGCAGGAGGTCCGACAGAGGAGCTCCGAGCTGCACAGACAGCTGCAGGAAAGCAAGAGCTGCAAAGACTTCATGGAGGTGTGTTGGAGTCTTAAAGGTTTAAACCCAGAGAAACTCAGAGATAATTGTGTTGCTGCTGCTGCTAATAGATAATGGCACTAATGCTTATGATGCTTGATGAACAGAAGTACAGAGCAGAGAAGAAGCCGGTTTTAAACAACCTCAGAGAGGTGAAGGTGGAGAACGAGCTGCTCTTGCAGGCCTTCGAGAAGGTAAACCGTCTCCATCCTGCTGCTCTTCCTTTATCCTCCGTAGCTCATAGTGAGCTAACGCTTCCGGGTGTTTTCCTACAGCTCCAACAGGAATGTGACGAGTTGTTGGAGACACATAAGGAGAATATGGACCAGAGGACCGGCCTGAAGAAGCTGCTGCTCCAAAGGAAGCTGGCTGCACTGACAGAAACTCTGGAGAAGAAGGAGGCTCAGCTCAGCACAGCGCTCTGCAGCTTAGAGTCAGCACCGCACAGCAATGCTGCCAATAAGCCGGAGGTAAGACCTGATGCTGTGATTCCATCCAGTATGAACATCTGAACAACCAGACATTTCTTAGCAGAAACTCTCGATCACAGCAGTCTCCCACACTGTTTACATTTGATTACTGCTGCACTTTAGGGGATGGAAATTTTATGCAAGCTGTGCAAAACAAAATTTTGTTTTGTCTGCACTCCTGGTGCTGGTCTCTGCAGCTCATATAGTTCATTTTCTGCATGTTTGATTTGCAGGAATGTTAGCTACTGAAGACTTCTTGACTCCCACTGCACCCTGAATGAAGCTGCATCATCCATAAAGGGAAAAGAGAGGGGCTCTTGTTCTCTTAAGGCCAGATGGAACCAGGCAATGGACGCGTATATTTCCAGAACCAGGAAACGATGCTATGATAATTTACTGGATTTTTAATTTCAAATCCCTTTTCCTTTAATGATCAGTTTAGTGAGTAGATCCAGATCCTGGTTGAACTGAATTAAAGAACATTTGTAATTCTGGGGTTGCTTCACTGATGAAGGTCAGAGGACAAAATAAACCATTTTCAGAAGATCTGATGAGTTCCTGAGGTGATTCACTGTGGCCTAGGATGTTCTAGGCTGGTTTGCTTCTCTGCCTCAGGAGAATGTTTGTCTTTAGGCCTTACCAGATGTTTTTTTTTAGGGGGGGGGGTTTATGTCTGGGCTTTGACTAGACCATTCCAATAGTTTATGCTTTGATATAACTGTGGTTGTATGTTTAGATTGGTTGTCCAGGTGGAGGGTGAAGATCCGCCCCCTGCTGACCAGCTTCTCCCCTTACAGCAGGATGCTGTAAGGAGAGAAGCTCTTTAAGATGCCAAAACATTCAGCTGGTCTCATCTAGGCAGGGTTTTGCCTCCGAGTAGAAAAGGATGAACAGGACTAAATAAAACCCTGCTTGAAACTTTTCTACAACCTTCTCATTGACAGGTCTGCTGAGATCAATGGATCCTGTTCATAGAGAGGTTCACTAAGGGACTTCTGATGTCTTAGAACACCTGGATTTGTCTTTGGTTACCAACTGGCTGACAAACCCTCCTGTTGACACTTATTCTCCACTTTGTGTTGGCAAGTCTCATAAAATAGTCAAATTCCCTAAAATTTATTTGAACAGCTTTCCATTTCTACTGGTGAAAAAAGTGAAATGTATATTTAGCCCCAGCTATTCAGTTCTGTCCAAAGACGAATCATTTAGTGGGTTTTATTCCCACCCTGGGGTTTCTGCTGATCCAGGCCAAAGAACCATTTGAAGATTCCTTAGATTGAACAATAAGAGTAAAAAAATCAGATGCCACAAAAATACAATTAGTAAAACTACAATAGATCTAGAATAAGAATTTGTATGCATCAACTTTCAAAAATGAATAAACTTTACATTATCAGATAAAACCTAACTGAAAGCCAAAATCTTTTTTTCCTCCCAAGAGGGACCCCAGAAGTTCCTGTACAATCAAATGGTCTCAGTGTTTGACCCCTCCAAGGTGGGCCCGCCCTTCGTCCATAATTAACATGAGGGATGGAGATGCTTCTGTGCCCCAGTCAGTTATCCAAAAATTGAGCTGTCATTATGGTTATACTGAGATGTAAAATCTGATTGGTCTGTCACCTAATCACATAAAGAACAGAGTTAGCCCTGCACACTGACTAACAGGCTGACAAATCTCCTTTTCAAAGCGCTACTAGAGAAAATAATAGAACAGGATATTCCGATTTTATTATACAGATTCTTTATATAAAGAATTTTGGACATATATATTTTCCATTTTTTTTCCTTATTATTTGAACAGTTGTTGCAGGATGACCATACCCTCATGATCTGAACTGTTTGACAGAATCTGAATAAACCCACCAGGAACCTTTATTTCCCCCACAGATAGACAGTTCTTAGACACAATTTATTGGCCTTCTACATAAGAATGTAAGCAGCAGAGGAACATGATCGACGACAAGGAAGAATATCCAGATTATATGAACAAGAGAGAATCCCAGTCATTCAGGCAGCATCAAATATACAGCAGTCTCACTCAGTAGACTCTTAAAGGATGTGTAACCTTCAGTGGCATCAACCTAGAGATTCACTAAATATATTGAATCATTAGCGAACCTGTTGATGGATTTAATGTAAGGATCAGACATGCATTAGTCAGCATCTGTTCTCCAGGATCCAACTCTAAAATGTTTTTTTAGGAATAGATTCAGTTCCTTTAACTGTTGTTTCTTCATGTTGGGATTCCTGAGCAGCAAAACAGTCTGACAGTGATTCAAGCTGTTCTGGGTGTGATAGCATCTCTCCTCTACAAGTCTTGAACTCGTCCTGTAGGAGCAGAGAGCGGCTCATGAAGACTGAACCATTAGCAGGACGTACACAGGAAGTCCCAGAAAGCTGACCCGCAGCTTCTGTCTCTTCCTCCTTGGTTCTCAGTTCAGTTTTGAGTTTCCTTCAGCTTGTGCCATGGCTGCTGGACTCGAAGACACCCTTCTTGAAAAATGGAGAAAACTCGCAGATGTCAAACTTGGAGAGACGGTAAACTCCATCCTCATCTGCTCTGAGTGGAGAACCTGAGGAGTTCAGCATGACCTGAAACAGCTTCCTGAGGTAAGTCTGTGGATGACAAAGATGCACCATCTCAGAAATAAGCAGAACTTAGAGGAACCAAAACATCAATAACATAATCCAAATATTTTTTGAGCGCCCCTAGAAAATTTCTCAATAAGTCACATAATCATAAAGCCTCATTAATCCACAACATTCTAATGATTATAATGATCTTATAATAACCTAATTTTTGTTTGTGCCACTAACATTTTAAAGATATAAAGAAATGTTTCTAGAGGTCATCAAAGGTCAACCAGCCCTACCAACCTTCTTCAAATCTGATGAAATGGGTGTCAATTACCTCAACTCTGTTTGTGCTGCTTTGGCTCTAAAGATATTAATAAAAAGTTAAAGGTCAAAAAGACAACCAGCTTCCCCCACTTTTATGAAATCAGACAAAATTGGTGTCAATCACCTCGGCTATGTTTGTGCAGCAAAAATGTTCATTCATTTGTGCTCCTATCTTTCTAAAGATATAAAGAAAAATGTTCTCCTGGGGTCATTAGAGGTCAACTACTCCCGTGGCCCTGCTAACATTTGCAAATATAAATAAATTTGGTGTCAATCAACTGCGCTTCGTTTGTGCAGCAAAAATTTTCGTTTTTGCCGCCATCAACAAAACTCTACAAACTATTATTAATTATATTAATAGTAGTTTGTAGAGGTCATCAAAGGTCAGTGAACATCCGTTAATGCTGAGACAGTGAATTTCATATTAATTATAAGTTGCTAACCTATGAATATTAATAATTTATTTTAACCTGAAAAACATTTTTGCAGCACAAACGAAATGGGGTTAATTGACACCTATTTCATTGGATTTAAAGAAGGTGGGGGGGCTAGTTGACCTTTGATGACCTCTAAAAACATTTCTTTATATCTTTAAAATGATAGCGGCACAAACGGAAATTTTTCTTGCACAAACATAGTACAAACATTTGACACTGATTTGAAGGTGGGGGGGCCAACTTCACTCAGGTGTAGTGGACCTATTCGCCACACAAGAGAACACACAGTGTCCGCTGTGGTTCTCCCTGAGCACGAAGGAGGATCCACCTCTAGGAGTGGATGCCTTTGCTCATCCGTGGCCACAGAAACTCCTTTGCACTTTTTACCTCCGGTCCCGCTGATCCTACACCAGGTTTGGTCAGAACTGCTTCCGCTAATTCTAATAGCCCCCCATCGCACAGGTGCTCCGTGGTTCCCCAACCTACAGCAGCTGCTGTCAGGCCGCCCGTGGCAGCTGCCATGGACGCAGGATGTGCTCCTCCACGTAGGAGGAGCGATCAGAAGTTACCCGGAAATACGCCAGCGTCTCTGGGCCTGGCCGCTTAACGGGTGCGCTTACACTGGCTTGGCCTTCCGCATGAAGTCATGCGCACCATTCAGGCTGTATGGGCTGCCTCCACAACAGCGCTATATGCGTCAAAATGGAAAGCTTTTGAGCACTGGTGTGCGGAGAAAGGCGTGGATCCCATTTCATGTCCTCTAGCCTGCATAATAATGTTTCTCCAGCAGCTCATGGAAAGAAAATTAACCCTGAAGACTTATGCTGTGGCTCTTTCCTCTTGTCATGAGGGTTATGGTGACAGAACAGTCTTTAACCATCCTCTGACAAAGTGGTTCCTGAGAGGTGTGCACAGACACAGACCTGTGTCACGCCTACTGGTTCCTCAGGGGCATTTAGCGCTGGTTCTACACGCTCTGGTAAGGCACCATTTGAGCCCTTAGATCAGGCTCAAACTAAATTGTTATAATTCAAAACAGCTCTGCTGTTAGCTCTGGCATCTGCAAAGAGAGTGAGCGATCAGTCCGCCCTCTCTGTTGCTCCTTCCTGTCTCAGCATACGGGGAGACGACAGCTCAGCTGTGCTGTGTCCTAATCCAACGTTCACACCCAATGGCATCACAAGCTCTTTCAGGTCGAGGGTGATAACTGAATGGCTTCTATCCTACTCCTCATAACTCCGAGGAGGAAGTTACGCACCATCTCCTCTGTCCTGCGCGTGTGCTCTTGTGTTACATGGTTCACACGGCTGCACTGCGCCGCACAGAATGCATGTTTGTGCATCACAGAGACAACTCTGCAGGACAGCCTTTGACTGCACAGCACCTTTCAAACTGGCTGTGTGATGCTATTTGACAGGCTTATACTTCTAGATTGGAGCCTCCAGAAAAGCTCAGAGCTCAACTGCTCGAGGGGGGCACCATGGACAGCTAGCTGGCTAACACATGTTGGATAAGCTGACTAAAATATTTGCTTTTTTTCATTTCAATAATAAAATATTTAGGTTTATCTGTTGGTCTTTAATCACTAAAAGAAACCTCAGTGTGGACAGTCAGGATAACCAGCACTTCGAGGTTCTTTATAAAATTAAGAGGGTAAGCCTACATTACATTTCTGGCTCAAACATACCAAACAGGTTTATTTGTACAAGTTGGTCATACCTCCAAGTGGCTGCGACGCTCAGAGACCATTCGCTTATCCCGGTTCCCAAAAAGCTTCTTAGGAGGAAACACGAGGTTCGCCAGCTGTACAGAAATAAGAGGCGTCACAGATGAGTTTCACATGAACAAATCTCTTAAAAAATCCATTCCGCAATCTGACAATGAGTTTTATTATTACCATTTGATATTCTGTCAGAAAATCCACAATAGAATTTAAAAACCTCCTTCTCACATATAAAGCCTTAAATGGCCAAGCTCCATCTGATATCAGAGATCTGATTGTTCCTTTATTTTCCTAACAGAGCACTTCACTCTCAATCTGCAGGTTTACTAGTGGTTCCTAGAATTTCTAAAAATAGAATGGGAGGCAGATCTTTTAGTTATCAGGCTCCTCTCCTGTGGAACCACCTACCAGTTTCACTCCGTGAGGCAGACATCCTTTCTATTTTTAAGGGTAGGCTTAAAACTTTCCTTTTTGATAAAGCTTATAGTTAGAGTGGCTCAGGTTATCCTGAGCTATCTCTATAGTTATGCTGCTACAGTTTTAGACTTCTGGAGGACATAGGGACCCCTATTTCATCACCCTGCTTCATTCCATCTCTATTCTCCCACTCTGCAGAATCTGTTAGTTAAATCTCTAAAGTTATGCTCTCTCTGCTTTTCTCATAGTAGCTTCGCCTCATCTGTTTGGCTGTGACGCCACCATGGAGAGAAATATCAGCTGCGCTGCTGCAATCAACACCTTTGTTTATAGAGGTTCGAGATCGGCCTGTTTTCCAGTGTAGTCCTGTTTCTCTGACATTGACTGGCTGGATGTGCTCTCCTTATCCTCTGACATGGGAGTTGGCTCGGTGCTCGTCTGCCTGGCTGTGTGTTTCCTGGACGGGGCCGCCTTTTACAGTTGCTTTTTGTATCTCTGTTTCTGTCTCCTTGAACCCCAGTCGGCCTCAGCAGATGGCTGCTCACACTGAGCCTGGTTCTGCTGGAGGTTTCTTCCTGTTAAAAGGGAGTTTTTCCTCTCCACTCTCGCTACAAGCATGCTTGCAGTGTGAGGGATTGCATTCGAGTCAATGAGTCGATGCAATCAACTGGTTTTCCTTAGATAGAAAACTTTGAATCAATTTGACTGTATGATCTGGTGAACTGTAAAGTGCCTTGAGATGACATGTGTTGAGAATTGGCGCTATAGAAATAAAATGATTGAAAACAGAACCTAACACCTCAGCGTTGTAGGACAGAGCATAAACGCGGCTTACCTCAGGATATTTGGACTTCAGGCTTTTGTGCATTTCTCTGAAGCGAGAGTAGCGTCTGAACACCGTCCATGTGTCGTCCATCACGGTAATCTGATAAGGATTGGAACTTTTCATCACTAAGAATTCAACAGATAACATGATGATATATGATGGGAAAACTTGTTGGCTGTTAGTTTACCTAGGTTATGGATCCAGAAGGATCCTTTGGACCTCAGAGACTTTTAACATTTTCTGAGGCACTGAGCCAACACTGAATCTCTTTGAGAAGTTTTAGACAAGGAATGTTTAAAAGTTTCAGGACTAACAGTTGCATCTGGTGTAAAACCATAAATGTCATTAACACCGCTGAGAAAACATAAAACCAATGTGAAGATATATATGCAATGAGTTTTGCTGCATTCCTTTTTAATTTTGTTTACATATTCACAAACTCTAATCTGATTTACAGACACCGTTAATCCATATTCATAAAAAGAAAAAAAACTGCTCAAAATAAATAAATATACAAATGAATTGTGAAACAGGAGAACGTTTTTTATAGTTGATCCGCTCAGGTGGTTGTTTGAAACAAATTGCATCTACTAAACATAATGACGTCAGCAGAAAAAGAGGTTCCGTGGAGATGGTGGAACATCTTTCCATGGCATTTTTTATTTTAGCATTCTTCAATAGCCATAAATAAGACATTTAGTGATACTCTGCTTCGATGAACTCACCTTCACCTCAAACTCAAAGTGTTCATCCTTGCCCTGACCACGGAGGACGTAACGAGGAATGCTAATTTTGATGGGCTCCTTAACGCCATCAGAGGCCTTCCCAGCCGCTCGGGACATCAAATGCTGCCGGAGAAATCACCAAAACCAGACGGGAAAACAGAAGGAAAGAGTAGCAGACAGTAAAAGATTGATACTTAAACAGATTGATAATAAATTAGAGGAAAATGCAAAACCTTAATAAAAATAAATAAATAAAAAAAATCAAATATAAAAAAGGGAAAAAGGCTTCAACTCAAATTCAAATAATCTTTATTTAGTTTGAAATCAACAACACAAAAATAACGTGCAAAATTCAATATTTACTGGTATTTCCCATTGTAACGAAATGAATAAGTGACACCATTAATCTCCCCTTGTAACAAACAAGCCATTATGATGAATAAACTTCAAACTTTCTTTGGTCAGCAGCAGCTTATTTTTATTGCACTCATTAAAGCCCCTTTAAATATAGTCCCTATGATTTCAATATGTCATATACCTAAGTGCACCTATCTATATCAACACAGACACTGTATTAAATGATATAACGAGCTGTATCTACTTAACTTAAACAGCACTAAAAAGAGCAACAGCAAAATTAATTTTCACTGAATTCTGTATAATTATATTCAAGATTCTACTTTGTTTTCATATTCCTCTATGTCTTTAAGACAAACATTTATTTTGATCATGTAATCTTTTTTTGCAGTTTTAATGCATGAATATAATGTAATGTAAATTCCTTTATTGTCACACAATGGGGGAATTCCCTCTCTGCATTTATAGAGTATTATCAATAAAGCAATTGAAATACAGTCAGAGATCCAATGGTCGCAGGTTACAGGAATAACAGGCCAAGGAGATGAGGCCCTAACCCATCTATCCAACTCTATTCTGCTATACCATATAAACAAGGCACCTCAACTTATTAAAAAAACTCGGAATCCAAGGTTAGAAATGTGCTCTAATCTAGTTGAAGCTTGAAAAGATATCCCATGCTTTCCAAAACTGTTCCCAAGAAAAAGGACATAAATAAAACCAGACTCAAGAAAACTGACCCAAGCACTGAGCCATGTGGGATTCCAGAATTAACTTCTCTGCTTGGGGAAGAGTCTCAAATGCATCAAAGCAATCCAGACTAAACCAGTCTACTGCAGCTCCATTCATTTCTAACACGTTAAATCTCTGAAAACAATTTGATATCATCTGTACTAAATGCATTAACAAGATTTAACGCAAATAATAGCTTGTCAACAATTGACAAGCTAATGAAATCATTTGATGTTTGGCAATAAAGTTGAATGATTTTGGATGGGTTATGACAAATGCAAAAAAAAAAAAAAAAAAAAAAAAAACTGGTTTGGGCCAAATGTGCTGACTGTGACTTATCTGTGTTGATGCTCTTGGCTGGCGCTCAGTGCATTTACCCCTGTAGGATCATGATGTGGATGGCAGCCTGGCCAAACCTGGCCAGCGGTTGCCACTGTGCCAGGGACAGAGGGCAAAGCTATTGAGATGCACTGTGATGGACACAATGGGTGCGACAGACTTGCTGCATCAACAGGCTTTTTGCTGCTGTGGCCAGAAATAAACCATAAATACCCCCACTGGCATCCACCGACTGCTCGCCAGGCCTCCACAACCACACACACCCTCACACTGAGACAGGCAGGAAGCATAAAGAAAAGACCAAAAGAAAGACGGAGAGCGTGGCTTGTTCGGGGTGCAGTAAAGCACAAGCCATCCAGGTAAATAAATATCTTTTTAAATGCTATAATAGAAGTTTTACTAAAAGAAAAAAAAAGATCAAGTAATGACTAGATATTTGAAAATAGATGCCTTTAATCATGAAACGCATAGGTATTTCATTGGCCATATCCCCAAGATTTAAAGACAATATATGTTTCAAAACAATTATATTGTTGTTTTTGGTGTGTAGAACGTTGACCTACTCGTGAAATCGGTGTGTCACATCAGTTTAGAAGAAATGAAAATGGTAAAAATCACTATGATTGCTATTTTTGCTCTAAAGTATGTTGAATCTCTTTTCTTTGTTTCTAGAGAAGACATGACAGAACAGCAGGGAACCCCAGACCAGCTGCCTGCAGAGAAGGGCCAAGGAGGGGCTAGAGCCACATATAAGGTAGTTTTCTCTTTAATATCACCACCCAACTATTGAAGTTACATAAATCTGTGTTTGGACCACAACATTTATCAATTAAACCCCCCTTTTTTTTGCAGTTGGTTGTATTTGAGTTTGAGAACTTTCTTGGGAAAAAGGTGGAGTTGTCCGGTGAGTGTAAAGACGTGTTGGAAAAGACCCAAAGAGTTGGTTCGGTCATTGTGGAATCAGGACCGTGAGTGAATCTCTGTTGCTTATGATATCACATCTTGTTTTGAGTTTGCTCATGTTTCATTTTTTTTTTACAATATATCTGTATTGATAGGTGGGTAGGGTATGAGCGCATAGGTTTTGGCGGAGAGCAGTTTGTTCTTGAGAAAGGAGAATATCCACGCTGGAGCACCTGGACCAGTATGCAGAGTAGCAACACCCTAAACTCCTTCAGGCCACTACAAATAGTAAGTAGGGATTAGACACAGAACCTTCTCAGATTTTAAGTGTGATGTAAGGAAGCATTTTCTTTCTCTCCTTAGGAAAGTGCAGATCACAAGTTGCAACTGTTTGAGAACACAGCATTTGAAGGAAGAAAGATGGAGATTGTTGATGATGACGTTCCCAGTCTTTGTGCTCATGGCTTCCAAGACCGTGTGGCTAGTGCAAAGGCTATCTCTGGAACGTAAGATATAACAAAACATTAAGGCTTCTAAGTCACGGGAATATTGGAGATGCTTAAACCAACTGAGGTGTAGAATATAAAAGCTAAAGGCTTAGAGCAAAAAAAACTAATGTACTTAATGCACTTGTAAAAGTTTACACATCCTTGTCAATTACAGATTTACAGATCCTTCTCTCATTCTTTCTTTTATGAAGGTGGGTAGGATATTCGTATCCAGGCTATAGAGGGCACCAGTATGTGTTCGAACATGGAGAATTCAAGCATTGGAACGCTTGGGGAGCCACTGCACCTCAGATCCAGTCCGTCCGACGTGTGCGCGACATGCAGTGGCATAAGAGAGGGTGCTACATTCAACCTGCCCCAGCCCCTGCCCCTGGTCCTGCCCCTGCCCCCGCACCTGCCCCCGGTCCTTTCCCTGCACCGCCCAAACCCAATCCAGATCCAAATCCCAATCCTAATCCTCAACCAACTCCCAAATCTCAACCACAGCCTTAACCCCAAAGATAGGCACCCTCACCACCTGAAGAAAGCTGAACACATCTAGTCAATCCCCCTTTTCTCCTGTATGCTTCTTATTGGGTGAAGTTTCCTGACCATGCAGCTTTGTAAAACTGGAACTGGCAAAATTGAAACATATTTCTGCTGGAAATAAAGGCTTAAGGCTTGACTTTGGCTATGTGCAGATCTGTTTCATAGTAATTATCTACTGTATAAAGGATTGCTTGGCACCTCCATTGGTGTGACAACTTATCAAAGTGATAAAAATACACATATAAAAACATCAGAAAGCCCTAAAGGGGTTTGTAGCTTTTGAACAGTTTATTTTTTTTACTTTTTTTTAAAAGTATTACAGAAATTAGTCAATTTAATTCGATTCAGTTTATTTATATAGCACCAATTCACAGCACATGTCATCTGAAGGCACTTTACAATTAAACATGATCATCCAGTAAAACTGATTAAAAAATTTCTATCCAAGGAAAACCAGTTGATTGCATTTACTCATTGACTTAAAGGCAATGCCTCACACAAAGCATGCTTGTAGCGACTGTGGGGAGGAAAAACTCTCTTTTAACAGGAATAAACCTCCAGCAGAACCAGACTCAGTGTGAGCGGCCATCTGCTGAGGCCGACTGGGGTTTAAGGAGACAGAAGCAGACATAGAAATATACAAAAGACAGCTGTAAACCAGTTCCACAGGTGGCCGCATCCAGGTAACAGACAGCCAGGCAAACAACCTCTGAGCCAGCTTCCATGTCAGAGGGGGAAGAGAGCAGATTTAGCCGGTCACAATCAGAGAAACAGGACTATACTGAAAAACAGGTCAAGCTCCAACATCTATAAACAAAAGTGTTGATGGCAGCAGCACAGCTGATATTTCTCTCCAGGATGGTGTCACAACCAAACAGGAACAGACCAGATGAAGCTATGAGAATACCAGGGAGAGCATAACATTAGAGATTTAAATAACAAAGTCTGAATAGAGATAGAATGAAGCAAAAGCATGAGAAAGATTTATCATGAGTGTAAACAAAGTGAAATCGGTCAGATAGAAACGATTTAAATCAGTCTAGCGCTGTTCCTTTAATTTCTACAAAATATTCAAGTCTTTCTAAAAGAATATTATTATCAGCTCTATCAAATGCAGCACTGAGATCTAACAGGAAATGTAAAGATAAAAGTCCATTATCTCAGGCCATGAGAATGTCATTAGTCACTTTCACCAGAGCTGTTTCATGACAACTTATCAACAAAACAGGTTATCGAGATTGGGACTTTTTTTATATATATGTCATCCGTCTTTCTAAAATGAAAAATTGTGCATACAACAAAGTATTCACCTTTTAAATTCAAACTTTGAAAGGAAATGTGTCCTCATCGCCCCATTAATTTTTACTGAAAAACTGGCATTGGTATACCCAAAATTGTTTTTGATTAACTTAATAAACCTGTCATAAAATGACCAAAATCCTGACAAAAACCTATAACTTTCAAACAGAAATTTAACCATACGGCTAAAAAACATGTACGTACCCTCTATACCAAAGAGAAAGATAGAATGCAACCATATGCATGCATAGGTTACATCTTTTTGTAAAAATAAATATGATGTGGATGTGTGGAATTGATTATATTCTGACTTTTACTAACATGTCTTACATGTAATTAATTTGTGCATATTGTCTATTTTAATGCACAGTTGCCTGTTTTATCCCTCCTTTACTGCTGTTTACCTTGTTCTCTAAAGTTAAAATTTCTTGTTCATTTGTTTATAGCTGTCCGAATGTGCATTTTTCTATGACTCTTGAACTGCCTTTTTAGCAGTGGCAGTTCAAGACCAAATTTACCAGATGAGCCAATCTTGGGTAAATTTTTTGTTGGGGCACAGAACGTTTTAATTAAATAAAAAAAGGTGGACAATAGTTAAATATTTGATGCATTAAGTTAGCCTTGGAACCAAAGAGCAGCTTGGGAAACATCTGTGTCATTTAGTTAAATTCGACTTTTTTCTTGTTTCAACTGAAATTATTATTCTTTTTTTTTTATGGTTTGAAACTATCAATTTAAATTTGCCTAAATTAATAATCCTGTACCAGAGAAACAATAACAAAAAACCCTGAAATAATTAGTAACCAAGTTAATATCTATCTCAGGTCTAAATGTGCTAGTTTTGCATGATCGAATGAAGTCACTCATATTTGTTGGTGAATGCTATCATTGGTGCAACACCATCCGAAAAGATACTGTTACAAAAAAAGCAAAAAAACAACAACTACCCATTTTGTTACCCAGTATGCTACCCATAGTATTTAAAATTTTACAAAAGTAATGTGACTTTGTGTGTGCTTTTTGTGTGCTGTATTACTAAAATCATAAGACCTAAAGGGACAACACTTTAAAATCTTTGAGCTATATAAGGCCTGTCTTTATGCTAAATAAGCTTGACCAAAATTAATTGTTGGGTTTTACAAATACATTATAATAAAAGTATGTGGAAACTAAACATATTCTTTGGATTATTATTTTAATGTACATTTTTTTCAGGAATAGCACATATTTTTGACATATTTTTTATTAAAATGAAATCAATTGAACTGACAAACAATATACAAAATAAAACAGAATTGTAAAGGTAAAAAAAATATTACCAAGGAACCAGTTTGATACAGTGCATGTCTGTATCAGTGTATATCATCATAATAGATTTATTTAGTATTATCTCTTAGGTACAGGGGCCATAACAGGGGCCATGACTAGTTCTATTAGGGCTCTGGCTTCTTTCGGCCCCGGTAAAGAACCGCCAATGTTTTTTAGTGCTCTTTTTTTTTAACTTTGTTTAATCAATATCTATGTTATTGTTTATTTTATTTAATCTTTGTACCTTTAATTTTTCAGTGTGGGAGCTAACAAAGTTTCGTTGTAATGATGATAACCATAAACACCCCATCATGCTTATATTTAAACGTTGAAGACATATGCTATGGAGGACCAACTCTGCCATATTTAAAAAGAAATACAGAAATAAATAAAGGCTCAATAAATAAATAAGCATACAATTAATTGCCACTAAAAATACAATAAACATGCATACAGAAATGTAAAAAGGGCAGACAGAAATAAATTGCGGCGAAGAAATAACTAAGATAAAAAAAATACAAAGGAAGAATAAAACAGACAAAAATATTATAACATGCACATAAATAAATACTTAAAAATGTAAGTAATTAAAAAATAAAGTTGAAGATTATAAAGGACAGAAAAATAAATAAGGTAAATATTACAAAGGCAAATAAATAAAGAAGCTAATTTAAAGAGTTATATTCATTTATGTTTCACTGTATAATTTAATTTCTACTTACATTTATTTGTATTTTTGTTGGCAATTAATTGTATGCTTATATATTTATTGAGCATTTATTTATTTCTGTATTTATTTTTAAATATGGCAGAGTTGGTCCTCCATATATTCCAGGTCAGGCGAAAAAAACTACACTTTACAGGGAGGCCATCAGTGATTGGTTGGAATGCCTGACAGACCCGCCCAGAAACAGGAAGAACATCCAATAGCAAAGCACTTTCATTCACTTGGCTTATGACGTAGGCGTGAAACGCGCAAAATTTGAAACAGTACCCCGGAAATAGCAGCGGAATTAGAAGAGGCTGAGAGCATTTCTCTGCATTTATGTTAACTCTGCACCATTAATATATGCATGGCAGTCAGGTAAGAGTTAACATATATCAGCGCTTTGTTTATATTATGGATTTTAGAACGGTTGTAAGTGACGCTCGTTTGTTAGCAAACTAACGGAACGTTAGCTACAGTTAACGTAGCGCGAGCTAAATTAACGTAGTATTGACATTTGGTGTGCCTGGTTCTGTTTATTAAATAAAAGTTAAATATGGCGAGAGTTTACACTTCAAACAACCATTTGCTCTTCCATTTAGGTTATCCAGATTTAGCGAACCATGTTGAAATTTAAATATGTGGGTCAGGGAGCCCTGAAAACACCGTGTTCCTCTGCTGACCCCATCACCAGCCGCAGCTTGCGTCTCAACCAGGTTTTTCAGGTAAGGCTAGCAATTTTACGTTTTGCTGTGGCACATTTTAGAGCAACTGACTCGTTTCCCTTTTTTTGTCCTCTCTCCAGGGAAGAGTGAGCCTGTACGGCGGGCAGCAGGGAGGATGGAGCTTAGGACGGGAGGAGTTTCTGGAAGCGCTGTTGCTGCTCTACCAAGAGTGTACATCCCCGGAGCTAATGAAGATAAAACATGTGGCAAAGTTTGTCCATAAATGTATGCAACTTTATCTAAATGCAATAACTAAAGAAAATGCTTGATAATGTATGCAAAAATACAACCTAAATGTGAGAAAGGCAAGTTACCTTTTTTGATAATTTGCATACCCTTTACAAATGGGTCCCTCAGTGAGGTCTAGAAGCACAAGATCTATATCCAGCCATTCCGCAAAGATGCTGCTACATGGCTGTACATCTTATTTTTTTGCATTGACCAATTAGATGAGCCCTTGTATGATATATTACCTACTGTAAATTAAGTGGAAAAAATGGGAAAATTTAAAAAGTTAAGTTAAAAAGTTAATAAGGATAGTTGACAATTGTATTTAGGTTTATAAACTAAAAAAATTAAGTGACGGTATCAGCATTAATGCCTCTAAGGTTGTGTTGTACCAGAAAATTGTGTTTATTTCACTCTCAGAGCCTTTTTCATGAATTTCTTATAGAAACACTTTTGTTATTTCTTTTAATATATTCAGGCAAGTTGATGTTTCTTGTTATTACATTGACATTCATTTTTGCCATCAAAATATCCATATTTTTGGAATGTTACAGAGATAAGGTGTTTTCCTGGATTCCAATAACACTATTTTCTTGAAGTTATAAAGGGTTAAGCTGTGTGAGACCTAAAGGTTGGACAGGTACACTTAAAAAGAAAAGCCTACTTCTGGTCAGAAGTTTCAGAAGTTGTCATGTTTTCATCATTAGATTTTCCTTTTGGTTTGTTTTAGACTTAAATTGAGTTCTTGCATTTTAAACTGCCACATCACAACATTTTAAAATTAATTCATAGCTAAATTCACTCTTTGAAATCATAAAAATCGAATTACAAATATTTTATTTGGCATGTAGGATATAATTTTTTTAATTATCCATGTAGTTGAAGCTTCGGCTGGTAAAATATTTTTTTTCTCAGGTCTCAGTGAAGTTTAACGAGAGAAGTTTAACGAGAGAAGTTTTGTATTAATTATGTGATAGTGATGTCCCTCCATCTTCTCATCCTTTCAACCATCTCTTTTCTTTGCTATCCTTCATCTGTTTGTCCAACCAATTGTTTGATCTTGTATCCATCCATTTGTCCAGTATCGTCCACTGACTTTTTAATTTGGTCATCTGACCTTCTGCTTTTCTAATCATTCTTTCTATTTAAGCATTGTTTATTTTTGATCTCAAATCAGATTAATTGTAATTTAGGTGATCTAAGTTGTTCCAAAGGTCAAGGTTTTATTTTTTGTAAATAAATTTCCTAAATACCATTAAATAATTCTGGAAGAATTTTATAAACATCTGTAAAAGTGTGAAATTCTATTCAGGAATCCTAAATATCTCATAAAGGTTTTGCCTATATCCTAATGCTTGTCTCCACAGTTTCTGAGGTGATCTCCGAGCTTCGTGCCTTGCAGCCTGCGGTGCATGACTTTGAGCTGCGTGCAGTGGTCGGCCATGGTCGCTTCTCTGAAGTCCAAGTTGTGAGAGAAAAAGCCACAGGAGATGTGTGTGCTCTGAAAGTGATGAAGAAGTCCGTGTTGAGCTCTCAAGAAAATGTAAGATGCCTTTCTTTGATTTTGTACAAAAAATCTGACCAGATTGCAAATTAGACAACACAATTAAGCAGAAAATTATAGGTATACGTAAAGTCACGACCAAAAGGTTGTCTTTGCTAGCTTATCAACTTCTTAAAAGACTTCAGAGGAGGTGCGATTTTCTTTTTTCTTCTTTCTAAAACTGCTTACATCTTCGCTCCATTTTTTTTCTATTACATATTTTACTATTTAATATTATTAATTTTTTATAGGTTAAATCTCTACGTGGGTCTTTTTTTTTTTTCTATCCTTTTTTTTAGTCTTAATTTTTTTGTTATAATTTTTTAATTATAATACATTACTTAACATTTTTCTATATTAATTTTATTACTTTGTAATTTTATTCTTTCTTTTTTTATAAATACTGTATTGAACATTTTTATTTTATGTTCTTATATTTTTTTATTAACTTCAGTTAACCGGTCATTTTTTTTTTATTATTTATTTTATTAATTTTAAAAAATTTTTTTTCTAATTATAACCTCTTAAATTATACTTTGTATATATGGGGTTCGGTCATTTTCTCCTTTTTTGAAACCAAAAAAGTAAAAATAAGAAAAAACAATACGCCCTCAAAAACTGTAAACTAAAAACACGTAACATTCACCAATAACACAAAAAAAACTACAAACACCTAAACCAAAACACACAAAACCACACACACACAAACACAAGCTGATAAACCCACTCCCTCACCCCGACACCCCCCCCCCCCAAACCACACAACCACCCAAAAAAACGAAGAAAAAAACATCCCACCCAAACTATCCTCAGCCCCCACAAACCCAAAAAAAAAAAAACAACACCAAACCCAAACACAAAATAGTAAAAACCACACAAACAGCCCCCAATCCCCCAACCATACACCACCGAGTCTGGCCCCAGTGCCCCCCCCCCCAGCCCCCCCCTCCCCTCCCCCTCCCCCCTTTCCCCCTCCCCCCCCTCACCCCCACCCCCAAACCCCACAAATCCGATCTACCCCCCCCCACCCGCACCCCAATAACCTCTCACCTCACTTTTAACTCCCATCTGATACTCCAATAAAAAAAATAATAATAATAAAAAAAAACACGATACAAAACATATTCCAACAGACAAATATACAATTTACCATGTTAAAAATATAACAATTACAATAAAATAAACGTTCTCGTAACTCTTCAATTTATCCAAACATGATAATATTATATATCATAAATTTCTATAATAATCACGTATATATTCATATATTTATTTATTTTATCTATTTATTAAACCGACCCCACTCACCAGTCCGTGCCCACCCCCGTCCCCACCTGCCTTCCACTACACAACCCACACCACCCCAACCCACCACACCCCACCCCTCGTCACCCCACCCTACCCACTCTCCCACCCACCCCCCCCCCCCCAACACCCCCCCAAACAAAATACCACCAAAAAGAATAACACACAACAAAAAAAAACACACAAACCCAACCCGATAGCCCCAACGTAAACTCCTGCCCCCTACCCAAAACAAAACAAAATCCACCCTACTAAACAATCAAAAACCAAAACCCCACATAAAAAATAAAAAAAAAAAAACACAAAACTCAAAAACACACACAAAGACAACACCCCGACCCGTACATCCCACAAAAATCAAAGCAACTCACCCCAACTCGAAAAACAATCACACAAAAAACAACAAACAAAAACAATAAAAAACCCAATACACAACACCACCACACCCCCCCACCCCCCCCCCCCCCACCGCCCCCCCCCCCCCCCCCCCCGCTCCCCGCACGACACCACCCGACGCCGGCCCCCCCCCCCCCATCCTCGCCCCCCCCCCCCCCTCACCCCCCCCCCACCCCGACTGGCCCACGCCCCAACCCACCCACGCCCGCGCCCCCCCCCCCTCCGAGCCCCCCCTCCCCCCCTCCCAGCCCCCCCCACCCCCCCCCACCCCAACTCCCACAGTCCATTGTCCTTCTGCCCCCCCCTGCACACCCCCCTGCCCAATTAACCCTTAGTCGGCATCACATCGATAGTAGAAAACAGTGTGTAAAGCTCAGATTTGTATAGATAAACTCCTTATCGAGACTATTAAAACTGAAAGATGACGGTATGGTTGATACCGTGCTCAACTGCTAAACTGCTACGGTTTTTTTTGTTATATAAATCAGACCTCAGCGAGCCACCACTCAAGTCCAAGTCGCCACAAGTTTTAAAAAGCAAAATCCATCCTCCTATAGTGGAGCACAACTGAAAATTTAGAGTGTGAAGGCAGCCGTTTTTTTAAAGACCCCAAAAACTTTTTAAAACTCGCCCTCACGGCCTCACAATTATTATAGCTAAGAGCACAAAAAAAACAAAACCATGTTTTGAGGTCAGTTTTGTAGACTGAAACCTCTTGGACCCACACAATGGTCTTCAGTAATTACGGTAGGATCATATTAATACTTTTTCCCTTCATTAAAAACCCTCCAGACGGAACCTAAAGTCAGCGAAGAAAATCAAGAGGCCTTTTTATTTTTTTTCATTGGTTTTGGAGCATAAGAAGGGGAGAAAAACGAACCAACACTATGTGTTTTTTCAAAGTCGTCATAAATAATTGGTTTCTGAAAGACACACCATACACCAAAGTTTGCACAGTTTTGTGAGTCGAATGGATGGCCTGACGCGCACGGTGAAAATGTTTTTTGGAATAACTCATGAACTGTATTTTCTTTGCTTCAGCAGTCGTTTGTTCTGGAGGGTGTTCTAAGCACCTAAAGCTAGGGGACAGCTGGAGCTGCCTGCAGCAGCAAGGGCAGGTTTTAGAATCTAAGGACAGAGAGACGCACCCCCCGTTTTTTTTTTTCTTATTCTTTCTCTCTTTTTTTTACTTTTTCCCATTCAGGTTGTAGATGACCTACAGAAAAGCAAGCCTGAAAGACTACTACTCCATATGAAGACGAAAAAGGATATAATCTGTCGCTTTAGAATAAAAATAATTTTTTTTCTTCGTCCTTTTTTTATTTTTCTCAGATAACCTTTTATAAAATAAACCTATATAATAAAAATATATAAATATGTTAAAGCCCTTTTATATATTTTAACTATTTTTTTATTTATTTAAATGATTAATTAAAAACTTTTATATAAAAGATATACTCTTTTAAACTTTATTAAATTTATTAACATAACCTTTATATTAATTACGGTTTTTACTCAGCAGTCGTTTGTTCGGAGGGGTGCTTTAGCAGCTTAAAGGTGAGTGAGAGTGAGGTGCTGCAGTTAAAACAAAGGGAGGAGCAGGTGGGATCAGCCATTTTGTTTGTGCTTCGTTTTGGGTTGTGAAAGACCTACAGACATGAAAGTTACCCCAGTCTGAGACAAAGGATAGATGTTTCTTTCACTGAAAGAATTTTTCAAATACCTTTTACGGTTTTTGCTCAGCAGTCGTTTGTTCGGAGGCTAAGCACCTGGAAGCTAGCTGACAGTTAGCTTCTGCAGCAGCCTGCTGCAGTGCAGCAGGCGGCCGTTTTTTTAAGATAAAACATTTTGTTCTTGCCTCACGGCCACATATTTGGAGCTACAGTCACCATTTTTGGTCAGTTTGTAGGCTGAAACCTCTGGACTCACACAATGTCTTCGGAATTACGGTAGGATTAATACTTTTCCTTAAAAACCCTCCAGACCGACCTAAAGTCGATGACAATCAGAGCATTTTTCCATTGGTTTTGGAGCAGCAGTGGGGAGAAAAACGAATGACATTATGTGTTTTTAACTCGTCATAAATATTGTTCTGAATGACACACATACACCAAAGTTGGCATAGTTGGAGTCGAAGGATTGCTGATGCTCACGGTGAAGAAATTTTTTGAATAACTCATACGGTTTTTGCTAAGCAGTCGTTTGTTCGGAGCTGTTCCTCCCATTCAAAAAAGCCTGAGAGCTAAGGAACGATAGTGCTGCGCTTTTCTCTCTGTCACTGACAGGCTCGTTAAGCGTTGTCAAGGTAACCGTGCTTCAAAGAGATTTTACCTCTGCTGTTTTAAACAGCACATATTAATCTAATGGAGGGTGAAAGCACTGATTTAACATTGGGAAATGGATACTATATGACTGCTGTCCATGACACTTCCCTTGCCACTCAACACTGATAGACTTTCAAAATAAGACTCCAGGGACCCTACAAAATAAAAGCCTCTATATTTTTTACATATATTTATTGCCCTATATGGCTCAACATTATGACCCAAACTCAACCCCATTTTAGAGAATAGACTCTAGGAGACTGTTTAAAACACACCCTATGGCAAATTTCAAAATAAAAGCCTCCCATTTCATCTTCATCTACTGCCCTAATAACATGGAAAAAGAGTGATTTAACGATTGGAAAGTCATCAACTATCATTGCTGGGTCTGAACATTTTCTCTAAACACAACTCTGTTGGACTTTCAAAATAAGACTCCAGGGACCCTACAAAATAAAAGCCTCTAGATTATACTAATGCAATAATTGATGCAAATGGCTCAACATTATGACCCAAACTCTTCCAGGTTGTTTTTATTAGACTCTAGTGACCTTTTCAAAACACACCCCAGAGCAAATTTCACAATAAAAGTCTCCCATTTACTCTGTAATACAGCAGCTATTCACCTAATAACATGGAAAACCAGTGATTTAACATTTGGAAATGGATTCTATATCACTGCTGGGCATGACCCATCTTTTGATGCACATCCATGATAGACTTTCAAAATAACACTACAGGGACTCTACAGAATAAAAGCCTCTTCCTTATACACACTCATACATTCTGGCATATTGCTCATAGCCATTTGTAATTTCATCACTGCAATGGCTCTTAGAAGGCGGGCGAAGCCCGCCAATGGTGATTTCATCACTGCAATGGCTCTTAGCAGGCGGGCGGAGCCCGCCATTGGTGATTTTTTTCATCGCTGCAAGGGCTCCTAGCAGGCGGGCGGAGCCCGCCAACTGCGCTTTACCCACTGCGGTTCAATATGGACAACCCATATTACCCTTGTGCATCATATGCTGT